GACTATGTGATAAATATATAGATCACAAGTTCCCAACCTGTGGGTTGCAACCCCCATTGGGGGGGTCATAAAGTGTTTTCTAGGGGGTTGTCACAGTTTTTGGAGAAGGGGGACATGTTGTCCTCCCCGGTTCCCTTCTGTCTGGTCCACCCCCTCTCTTTCTCGTACCTCAAGCTCTGTTCGCTCCCCACTGTGGGGCTCCTGGGCACCTGAAGCCCCTGTCTGCACACTCTCCTTCTCCCGTGGCAGCAGCTTCTTCTCTCTGGTGGGTGGCTGGGATGGGAGATTGGGCTAGAGAGGAGTGGAGGTGGAACCTAGCTGCAGCTCATGTAAGCCAGGCCAGCCGCCATGACGGGTGTTGAGAGGCAAGGAGGCAATGGCAGGCTTGAGTGGGAGTCGAGAAATGGAGGGAGAGGAGGAAAAGGCTGTCAGTGCGGTGATTTCACTCCCTCCTTGCCTCAGCCACATGCTGCTGCCAACATCTTAGGGAGAACAGTTTGAGGCAGTGGAGCCACCTCTTCAAAGCAGGAGGAAAAGGGCAACATTTCACTTCCTGAAGGAAAATTCACCCTACCCCAGTAAAACTCAATTTTAATATATTCTTATAACCTCTACCTTCCAGAGCCCATTAAGAGACTGTTGGGGTGGGGGGGAGTAGCTTTAACAAACATTCAGCCACAAATTTTGAAGCTGGTTGCCCAGATGCAAGTACAACTATCACATCAAATATTAGGGTAGAATTATATTCTGAAAAATCTATTTTAATGTTTTTTCTTTACCCCACTAAGAATGCCTTTTTCTGCAAATATTATGGTGGTGGTGGGTTGTCGTAGGTTACAGAGCTATTACAAAAGGGGGGGGTCACAAAACAGTTGTGAAACACTGATACAGAGATACTGAAACATATGGGAATGGACACACATATGTAGATATACAGGTAGATACACACACACACACACACACACACACACACACACAAACACACACACACACACACACAGAGTTTATGGAAATCAAATTACAGATGTGTATAGTCCTGACCAAGCAAAAACAAGCTTGATTCAAATGTTTTTCTTTTCGTTTCTCTGTTTGACTTTTGTCCCTTTGACATCTTCTATCCCCCTCATCACCTGGCATTGTCTTGGGACAGAACACTCCCTCTGTTCCCCAACCCAGTTCTCCTCAGGTGACTGTGAATGTTGCTGTTGACTTTTCTCTCACTTCTCCGAGTGTTGCAATTTGGATGCTACTTTGCTTTTCTGCATGCTCTCTTCTCCTCCCGCCACAGCTTGCCTGCCTTTTCATTATCTAAAGTGCTGAGTGATGCCAGACAGCCCTCCAATAGCTACAATACACATATGATGAAGCAGCAGCAGTGTGCTGGATAAAGCAAGTTGGACTACTGTGCTTTGATTTTACTATTTTAGATTATAGATGGGATCTTATATGATGGAAATGTTTCCTAAAACAATTCCAGCCAGTTCAGAGGATTTAGTAAGCTGCAACCCACAGAATGTAAGAAAGGACAAGGAGCATAATTGACATTATCTGTTATAATTTCCTTTTCAAAGCAACGGCTGTAATACACTTACAAGCTGAATACACTTTATAAATTCTACATGTATGTTGGAGTAACTATTTCATTTTTTCCCCCAGCCAAATATCTGCAGTCAATACCCAGTAACAGGGTTCTGCTATGATGGCTACAGACCTATCTGCAGCACTCAAAATGTGACATTTGCTAACATGTGCCTTTTCTGCAGAGCCTGGAGGTTAGTAAACTTGGTTTTTAATACCCTACTATTGAAACAGAAAACCCTTTGAGGTGAGGCTGTTCTCCTCCACCTAATTAAAAAAAACTGATTCCAGATCTGAATGAGAGTAAGCAAATGTTCTAGATGAGAGTGGCTTGTGTTATCCTGATGATTAATTTGTTGATTGTGTTATTCTCTTTTTTAGGAGATATGGAGATTATTTCGGCATATTGTATAATGGAGAGTGCAGAACAGAGGCAAGTTCCAAATGTCTTTATATCCAAATAAATATAACATGTAACCATTTTATCTTTCTTGTATTTACCCACTTTATCCATCTACCAATTCATACAAAGAAAAACCTGCCAGGTTTCCAAACTGGGTCCCTAATCAATCACACAGTCAATTGTGCAAAAGGTAGATCAGTGGAGAGGGGAAACCACTGTGTGGTTGCCCTTGCACATCTGGATTTCTGCAACAGGATATTGGCCACAGATTGTCTGAACTGCATTTGTAAGGAAATGGCTGCAGTCTCACTGTTTCTCGTGGTCCTTCCTAAGTTGCCATTGTGTTTTTGCACTGGGATGTTTTTCCAGTGAGGTATTACCTCTGTAGTTTCACCATCACTGCTCACACATAAATCAATTAAAGATATAATGATACAAATTCTTTTTTTCATCCTGGGAACACTGCAACCCAACGGCTCTGGCCAAATTTTATAAAGTTCAGAAGGAAATGGTGGGGATACACCAATCTAAACATTTTCCCTCCAAGTGTAATTTTCTTTAGGGCTATGCATTGGCTTTGGTCCTAGCCCAAATTATTAGCCAAATCAACCAGATTCAGACCAGATCACAGAGGAACCTCATCTTTGGCTCCAGAATGAAATGAAGTGAAGTTACAAATCAGTTCAGATCACACATTTCTAAAGCAAAGTATAAAAGTGCCTAACATGCAAATCCATAGGTTGCTCACTTTATATTTGGCAGGTTTATTTCCTTCTTTGTTTTCTATTGTGCCTGAAAATTTATTTTACATCGGTGAAAAAATAAAATACCTTCCAGCCATTTTGATTTCCCAATGCAAGTCAATGGGAGGCCAGCTATCTGAATTTATAAATCCACGGATATTCAGGCACAAAATGTGTTTGTTTGTTTGTTTGTTTGTTTGTTTGTTTGTTTACTTATATGCCGCTCACTCTACCCATAATTTTCTGGGCGGCTTACAAAAACTAAAATACAATTAAAATGCAAAAAAAGATAAAACAATTAAAATAATGTACAATTAAAATAGATACTCTAAAATTGCCATCAGGACCCACAGTTGATATCATTTCAATTAAAAGCCTTCTGGAACAGAAAGATTTTGACCTGGTGCCAAAATGTCATCAGAGTTGGCGCCAGATGAATCTCAGTCGGGAGGGCATTCCATAGTCAGGGGGCAGCTGCCAAAAAGGCCCTTTGTCTACAAGCCATCCCTCTTACCTCCTTGAGGGCCGGCTCTTTCAAAAGGGCCCCCTGGCTAGATCTTAACTGCTGGGTAGGCTCATATGGAAGGAGGTGGTCCTTCAGGTATCCAGGGCCCAAGCCGTTTAGGGCTTTATATGTCAAAACAAGCACTTTGAATTGGGCCCGGGCAGCAACTGGTATCCAATGTAATTTAATCAAAATCAGCTTGATATGTCCCCTGCAGCCCCACCAGTCACCAGCTGTGCAGCTTGATTCTGGACCAGTTGCAGTCACTGGACTGTCTTCAAAGGCAGCCCCACATAGAGCACATTGCAATAATCTATACGAAATGTTACCAGTCCATGTGTAACTCTCATGAGACTCCGCTCATCCCGGTAGGGCCATAGCTGCATAATTTCCACAGCTGAAGGAAGGTGTCCCTGGCCACCAAGTCCACCTGGGCTTCCAGTGTTAGACTGGGGTTCAGGAGCATCCCCAGGCTGTGGACCCTGTCCATTAGGGGGAGTGTAACCCTATTCAGGGCAGGGAAATGGCCCTCCAGCCTGTCCAGCAAAGTATCCACTAACAGCACTTCCGTCTGGACTGAGTTTCAATTTCTTAACCCTCATCCAGTCCATTATCAGATCCAGACACAAGTTCAGCACAGAAACCGCCTCACCTGGATTGGTGGAAAATGAGAGGTAGAGCTGAGTGTCGTCAGCATATTGCTGACTCCTCAACCCAAACCTCCTGATGACCTCTCCCAGCGGTTTCATGTAGATGTTAAACAGCATGGGGGACAGTACTGAGCCCTGAGGAACCCCATGACATAAATGCCATGGGGCAGAGCAACTGTCCCCCAGCACCACCCTCTGGACACGGTCAGCCAGGAAGGAGCAGAACCACCATAAAGTGGTGCCCCCAACTCCCAATCCAGCCAGTCTATCCAGAAGGACATATTATGAGTGTAATATGAAATTTTATATAAAATGACTCTTATAAATATGAGTCCAGACTGAATCAAGAGACCCACACACGCACAGCCCTAGTGCTCACTTTTATGCATTTTTTCCCTTTAAGTGGCAGGAAAATGCTGGATTGCTCTTGGCTGAACACGTTTTAAAAGCATGTAATGGGAGGATTTTTACAACTGCTAATCAACCTTTGCTAACCACTAGAGAAAATAGTATGCAGTTGTTATTATGCATCCTATTGATATTCTGTTTTATTGGAACTTGTTCACATCATCAAAGTATTATGTCATGGCTAATAATTAAAATTTTTGGTACAGGCAAAATGTTCTTTTTTCAGCTGCAATGATAAAAGAGAAGCATTGCTAAAATAGACCTGAGCCAATTTACCACAGTTCAGCATCTAGTTTCCCACAAAGTCCATCCATAGGTATCCAAGTAGATCACAACTTATGTCTCAGCAGCTGTTGTTCCCCACCAGCATGCTCTGTTACCATACATGTGCACGTGTGCGCGCATGCGTGCGCGTGCACACACACACACACACACACACACACACACACACACACACACAAACACACACACACACAGGGGGGGGAGAGAGAGAGAGCAAAGGGTAGCAGTGAATAAAGTACAATTTACTAAGATCACAAATAATCTTAGGATTTATCCACAACTAAATAATCACAAGTAAGCTCATTGAAATTAGTGGTACTTATATAAGTGGAGAGATGCATTCAACCTCTACTCATTACACACATATACAAATATCTCTAATTTCCTATGTGCTAATTCTCCATATACAATAAATAAAAGCTGACAGATTCATGATCACTTTATTCACTACTCAGTCTAAGCAAGAAGCTGGTGGTAATGGCGAAGATGGAGGTGGAGAAAACGGCAATGGTAACGGTGGAAAAAAAGGCAACGGTGAAGGTGGAGAAAACGGCAATGGTAACGGTGGAGAAAACGGCAATGGTAACGGCGGAAAAAACGGCAATGGTGAAGGTGGAGAAACCGGCAAAGGGAACGGCGGAGAAAACGGCAATGGTGAAGATGGAGAAAATGGCAAGGGGGAAGGCGGAGAAAACGGCAAGGGCGAAGGCGGAGAAAACGGCAAGGGCGAAGGCGGAGAAAACGGCAAGGGCGAAGGCGGAGAAAACGGCAAGGGCGAAGGCGGAGAAAACGGCAAGGGCGAAGGCGGAGAAAACGGCAAGGGCGAAGGCGGAGAAAACGGCAAGGGCGAAGGCGGAGAAAACGGCAAGGGCGAAGGCGGAGAAAACGGCAAGGGCGAAGGCGGAGAAAACGGCAAGGGCGAAGGCGGAGAAAACGGCAAGGGCGAAGGCGGAGAAAACGGCAAGGGCGAAGGCGGAGAAAACGGCAAGGGCGAAGGCGGAGAAAACGGCAAGGGCGAAGGCGGAGAAAACGGCAAGGGCGAAGGCGGAGAAAACGGCAAGGGCGAAGGCGGAGAAAACGGCAAGGGCGAAGGCGGAGAAAACGGCAAGGGCGAAGGCGGAGAAAACGGCAAGGGCGAAGGCGGAGAAAACGGCAAGGGCGAAGGCGGAGAAAACGGCAAGGGCGAAGGCGGAGAAAACGGCAAGGGCGAAGGCGGAGAAAACGGCAAGGGCGAAGGCGGAGAAAACGGCAAGGGCGAAGGCGGAGAAAACGGCAAGGGCGAAGGCGGAGAAAACGGCAAGGGCGAAGGCGGAGAAAACGGCAAGGGCGAAGGCGGAGAAAACGGCAAGGGCGAAGGCGGAGAAAACGGCAAGGGCGAAGGCGGAGAAAACGGCAAGGGCGAAGGCGGAGAAAACGGCAAGGGCGAAGGCGGAGAAAACGGCAAGGGCGAAGGCGGAGAAAACGGCAAGGGCGAAGGCGGAGAAAATGGCAAGGGGGAAGATGGAGAAAATGGCAAGGGGGAAGGTGGAGAAAACGGCAAGGGGGACGGCGGAGAAAACGGCAAGGGTGAAGATGGAGAAAATGGCAAAGGTGAAGGCGGAGAAAACGGCAATGGAAAAAATGAAAATGGGGATGTAGGGAATGGCATGGATGAAGGTGGGGTCAAAGGCTACAGCACTGACACAGATGTGGACTATGGTGATGGTACAGATGAAGGTGCAGACCCTGGCAAAGACACAGGTGGAGAAAATGGCAATGGCAAATACCATGGTGAGAATTATATGCAAGGTGAATATGAGGGTGGAAAAAATCATAGAGGTGATAACAAATGAGGCAGAGAAGAAGATAAAGAAGTAATCCACAACAGATGTATGTGCAGATTTAACTCATTATTTAAACTATTGCTCTTGGTGTACAATCATGCCATTTTTATAACACATGAAAACAACCCAAGTTTCCAGGTCCAGTAATTTAAGAGCAGATTACATTTCGAACGCAGATTCTTTGTGAAACTCAATAATTGTCTCACTTAGTCATGTACAGTTTCTCCATCTTAAAGTCAAACTTGAAATAACACTTATTTTTAAGATATCCAAATGTATAGACAAGCATGGTTATGTATCCTTCCCATAGAAACATAATAATAATAATTGTGTGCTGACATGTCAGTTCTGACTTACAGGGAGCATTTGCAGGATTTTCCAGGTAGATAGTGTTCAGAAGTGATTTGCTATTCCCTTCTCCTGAGGGCATTCCGAGACTCTGCAGCCTGTCCAAGGCCACACAGGCTGGCTTTTCTAGGAGACACAGTGGGGAACTGAACTCTCAGCCTCATACCTGAATGAAATGTACACTAGCTGAAATCCTATTGCATAATGCAAGAATATTTGTAAGTTTTGGTCTATTCTTCATGGGTTAAATAAAGAGTGCCCCCGTCAATTCTTGGGGGACCGCATGCATGCACCGAGCCAGAGTCCATGTGTCCCTTTGAGAATCATGGTGAGGCCTCTTTATTTATTTGCAAAGAATAGAATAAAACTTACACATTTGGTTACATTACACAAAAGGATTTGGCCAGAAAGAGTTTCTAATTAAACATTGATATGAACTTCCTGATTGTAAAACAAGTTGGTATTAGGTGATGGGACAGTCTACATAAGAACATGGTAGACTCTCCTACAACAGAGTTTTGACAGCCATCTGTCAGAGATGTTTTAGCTATGGACTAATTCTATGAAAACTTCTACATGGAGCCAGACGGAGGCTGAGGGGGGCACTGGATGTTGCAGACTTTTTTCTCCTTCCATGTAGAAGGTTGAATATAGACCTTTAAGGTATATAATTGAACTAATTCACTAGAAGGACCTCATATGCAATATTGTCTCCTCTTACCTGTAATTGTGGCAGAGGAATACAGGCAACAGAAGAGAATACTATGCATTCATACCATGGGACATTTAGGGTTGTATCCAACACTGTCCATTCAATTCATGGATGCACCTTCTGTGAGTAAAAGTGAGTGGGTGAAATCTCTTCTGTGGCCTCCATACACCTGCAAACCATATAATTCTGTTCTTTGTAGGGATCAGTGGTCTCTATGATGAGCAAAACAAAATCACAATGTACATCTATATTTGTGAATTAGAGATAATCTCCCAGGATGCTCATGGTAAGGTAAGGGCAATTGTTCCAAGACAGACCCATTCAAGAAAGAATACAAGAAAACAAATCTTGACTTGAATACAGAAGCCGCCAGAGTCAGCTTCCATATATACATTATGCCTATGGCCACCATAAACACAGAGCATTTTGGTTAGCCATCCATGAAAGAGAAAGAAAAACAATTTAACTTACTTGAAGGAAGGAGGGACAGCATGTGGGCAGCAATCCATAAGAAATCACTTAAAGAAAGCTAAGAGTCAGGATACTCAAACTCATCTGCTTCTCTATCTATTGATCAATCAATCAATCAATTGATCTAGCTGCCTGTCATTCCTCCTCCTCACTCCAGCAGATACAACATTGCTACATTTGTTCAAATTCCCAAGGCAGTAGCCAGGTTAGTTTGTTGCAACAAAAACAACAGAGTCTTAGAGCACCTTAAAAACTGCTTTTTAGATTGGAACTCATTCCTGCATCTGAAAAGGTGGACTGCAGTCCATGAAAATGCATGCCAAATAAAACCTGCCAGTTTTTAAAGAAGTTTTTACATTTATTCAACATCTGTAAAAGATCATAGCCCTCCTGCTATGACTGTTCCATAGAAGAGATCTTCTCAGCAGATGTGCTTAGATAAATTTTAGATAAGTTTCTTGTGCCCATCACCACAGAGTAACATCCGGTTCCAAGTTCTCCCTGTCTTCCAACTTTAATTCTGCAAAGGTGTGCTAGTCTAATGCCGGTCAGTCCCCATATTTCTCCATTTACCAAACGATTTCCTTCTGCATAAGCGGAAACACTGGAAAAGGCATGTCAAACTCCTCCAAGAAAAACATCAAAAGAGGCTTGGACAGAGACATGGCAGCTGTTCCAGAGTAGTCAGGGAATTCCCTTCATGGACCTCTTTCTGGGTAGCATTTCACAGTGGCACATCACAAGCGCCAGGTTACTCATATGTGAGGAACTAATCTTGTCCATCCAGGCCTGATCAACCTTGTCCTGCTTACAACCCATTGTGACTCTAATTCTTGAAGGAGTTGCTGCCTAAGACGGTTAGCAATGTTAGCACTGTCACCAGCAAGTAAGGAAGAGAGGAAAGCAAATGCAACTTCTCACTTAAATGCAAGAACAATCAATTCCTTCAACCCCATATGTCCTCAGCGACTTTCAAGCATTACCCCTTTGGTGATATTCTTAGTCCAATCCTCATAGCACAAGGATTTAGAGATCTGACTAGGTGTATTGTCCTGAATACTGGCTAAACCACATGACACTAAGATTTTCCTTTCAGTTTTAAGGTACATTTCATAACTTCCACATTTCTTTCTTCATTTAGTTTTTCATGCAGCGCTCCTTATTGCGATAAGGTTGACATTTATTTTTCTTTCCACTCTTCCAGGAGTGGGCAGTGGTGAAAATGTTGCAAAGCAAGTGACATTATTCTTAAACAGAAGATTTTTTCCCACATTTCTCCACATGAAATATATTATAAACTTTACTGTCTCTTCTGTAAAGAATAATCTTCCTTGTTTTGCTGACAGAATAAATTTAATTGAACTAAATACGTAATTTGCTTTTTTCTGCTAGCACAAATCTTATAAGTGGTGTTTTGAGAAAGAATAATTTTATTAGGGATTTTTAAACTCTTCTCTATGTATAAATTCTTTCCCATTTTAAAAAAGAACAGAAGAAGGAAGTGGCTTGAAAACCTCCCAGGTATTTTGTTGTTGCTGTGTTTGGGTACATTTTGATTGAGGCAATCTGTGTTAACAAGTAAAAGGGACGGTCTGCACGGAGACAAAAAAAAAATTAAAGGGCTAATCAGAGCTTCAAAATGTAGCTTTATGCTTGAGGGGGGAGGAAGAGAGAGCAGAGCAGAGCAATTTGTTCAGCACAATTTAATGAGCTTATGGGGCAAAAGATCTATTTCCATTTCAGGTTCTACTTAGAGCATTCATTTTAAAAACCCATTCAGTTTAAGAGAATTAAGGATGTTAAGTAAAAGGCACAATTTCTCTGCTTAACAATCCAACGCCACTTCAGTGGAAATTAAATGTTAGAGGTGATTTTGGGATGTGGTGGCGCTGCGGGCTAAACTGCAGAAGCCTTTGTGTGCTGCAGGGTCAGAAGACCAAGCAGTCATAAGATCGAATCCACGCAAAGGAGTGAGCGCCCATCGCTTGTCCCAGCTCCCGCCAACCTAGCGGTTCGAAAGCATGCAAATGCGAGTAGATAAATAGGGACCACCTCGGTGGGAAGGTAACAGCGTTCCGTGTCTAAGTCGCACTGGCCATGTGACCACGGAAGATTGTCTTCGGACAAAACGCTGGCTCTGTGGCTTGGAAACGGGGATAAGCACCGCCCCCTAGAGGCGAACACGACTGGACAAAAATTGTCAAGGGGGACCTTTACCTTTACCTTTATACAGAATTGAAAAAAATACAAAATGAAGCAGAAGCAGCAGGGGATATATCAGGGAAGAAAGTGGGTTGGAAAGAAATAATATTATACCCTTCACTGTAGATTATCAGATTCCATCATCACTTACACTATCACACTACAATATCGACCACTTCCTAAAAGTCATCCTCACAATAACTACTAAAAAAGCTGTGAACAGCTTGTCCAGAAATGAGTGTGTGTTGCGGAGGAGGGGATAAACAAATTTGATGAAATCTTAAATTGGAGAAAAAAGGTCAGATGTCTTTAAAAATAAAAGGCACAACATTTAACCGATTTCTAGATTTCTTGGCAAACTTTCAAAGGAGCAAGTTATACTACTTCTAGAACTTACTGAGAAGATGATCTCTTAAGTATGCATTTTGGGTCCGCTAATACTGCTAGTGGAAGTTGGGAGCTGATGTTTTACTTCACAGCATGGATTTTACAACCCAGAATTACTGAACAAAATGTTACAATGGGAGATACATCTACAATAAAGATCTTTAAATTGTGATATGTGGCCCCATCCAAGTCGCTCATGGGTAAAGTGTGGGCCCATATGTGAAGCAGATCTGAAAGGAAAAAAAAAAACAGCAACATTATTTTTCTTCATCTCTTGCATCTAGAAAGGCAAAGCCTCAGTTATTATCATCTCTTGCATCTAGAAAGGCAAAGCCCCAGTTATTAAAATACAAATTCTAAATGTATTTTCCTTTGTAGAACAAACCCAACAAAAATAGCTCCTCAGAAATGTTGAAATGGAAGTTTGGGGAAAAGTCGAGTTTGGGAATGGCTAAGTTCAAAGATACCTCTCTCTCACTTAGAGTTTGCAGCCAAATCCTGTGCATGAAACAGATGTCTCCCTCATGAAATAGTTATCTGCTAGATACCTATAAAACATGGTGAACAATAGCTTTTTCATTCCTGCTATGATTTTGCCTATGTGTGAAAGTGAGTTGCTCCTTCTAGGTTCTGGCCAGTTCTCACCTACGGAAAAAGATAAAACAAAAACAATTTACCCAGTTTTAGAAGAAGGATCTCCTTGGGCCACCTAAAATATTAGATTTTTTTTTAAAAAAATTAAATCATCACACTGTTCCAGTTTGTGCCATAATGATAGTAATTCCCATTCTTCTGATGTTATGTGTTGATTAATGGACTATGCTGTTCTTTTTATGTTGTTTTGAGGCAAGACTCATTTGTAAGGGTGTAATAGCACCTATGATCCTACTCACTCCGCTATACACAATAGGAACAGGAGGGAAAGGAAAGCCCTATTCACTTGTTACTTACTTGGTTTTCCCTGAGAAACTTAGAGGGAGCTGCCTAGCCCCCCTTTGTGTCCTATTGGTTTCTCCACATGAGAAGCAATGGGACTACAGAGGAGATTCCAGCTTATATGCAGGTTCTCCACATAAGAAAGAACTCTGCCATGTGGGACTTGTTGCTTACAAGGAGAGTTGACAATGAAGTAAGAACCTCTCCTCTGCAGACATATTACTTTTTGACACATAGACAGCAACAACAGAAACAGGAGGAGCTACACTCTCCCCTTTAAATGTATTGGAAATAACCAAGTAAGCAGCAACTGAACAAGACTCAAGAATGTAGCTTACTTCTCCACCCGCATGGTATGCCTTCCCATCTCTGGGACCAGTGTGTGCCTATATACACGGGGATGCAATATTCATACAGAGCTCTAGATGTTCACACAGCTTCCAGATATTATCTGAGAAGCTGGTTGTGCAAAATGGGCCTATGGATTATTTCAAAGATGTAAATCCTACTTAGATTAGCCATCTGGTGGCATTAAAATATGATAGACAGCATAAAGCAAAGCAAAATGTTCTGCTTTTATACCACCTCATAGTTCTTAGAGCACTTTAGGTAGTTTACAATGTAATTATGCAGACTACATATAAACCCCTCCCCCCATGAGCTGAGTACTCAGTTTATCAACCTTGGAAGAATGGAAGGCTGAGCCAACCTTGAACTGTCTACCTGAGCCCACTGAGATCCAATTCAGGTCTTAAGCAGAGTCTTGGCTGCAATATTGCAGTTTCACCACTGCGTCATGATGCTCCATCTGCCTCACCAAAAGGACATGTACACAGGATAAATACTGCCAGATTTGAATTTCTGTTAATCTTCAGAAAAAGACACCAAAGCATGGTCATTAGATCTGAAGATTACAGCATTTTAAATTCATTCTTCTTAGATTCATTATCAGTAATATAATGATGTCTCAGTGTCAACAAGGCAGGTCATTAGTGGGGCCAGGCTTACCAACAGGGGGAATGGGTGTATTGCTGCTTTCGGAGATTTCTAGGTGCATCATTTGACCTTTTAAAATGTTTTAATATTGTTTATAACTTGCAATTTATAATTTACAACTAAGAGCAAATTATTAGTTATTTTGAAATTATTATTGTATTATTATTGACAGGAAAAGTAAAAGCCTTGTGTACCAAAATAACTTGGATTACCTTAAGTATTATGTACTTTAACCCGGGTGTATGAAGAACGACATATCATTTTCCACCTTAGGCAGCAAAATGCCTTGTTCATTACAGAGCTGCCCTTTACAACAGTGGTCCCCAACCTTTTCGGAACCGCAGACTGGTTGGGGGGAGTGGTCCCCAACCTTTTCAGAACCACAGACTGGTTGGGGGGAGGGGGTCTGTGGACGGCAGAGGCACCCCCTAGCTTGTGGGTGGGCATGGCATGTTCACGGGTAGGCATGGTATGTTTGTGGATGGGCATGGCTAGCTAGCGGGTGAGTGGGGCATGCACAGACGCATGCACACAGGTGTGCTATGCCCACCCGTGCACTCACCATGCCCATCTGCAAATGCACCATGCCCATCCACACATGTGTGTGAGCCCACCATGCATGCATGCGGGGTGGGTGGGAGATCTGTCTCCGTGGCCTGGTCCTGTGAAGCCCATGGACTGGCAACCGGTCACGGACCAGGGGTTGTGGATCCCTGCTTTACAATCATTTATTATTGGCAGTGTCATCAACTTTTTACCTAATCTGTATCATATGTCATGAGATGTTCTGCTGAATTTATGGAAGTACCCTGCTCCATCCATTCCATAGCAGATCATAGGTAACCTGGATTAGGGCCTCTCCCTGGATAATCCCAAACCCAAACACATGTTGTAGATCTGGGGCAAGGCGTTCCTTCAGGTAAACCAACTGGAAACTATCTATGGCATTTATTGTTAGAACCAGCACAGATAATAACTGAACGCCACTGTAGCTGTCTCTCACCAACTCTTCTCTGTGATCTGGTCACCATGTTTTGGACTAGAACAATATGAGTCAATTTCCCCCTTAGTTAAAAAAAGAGGGAATGTAACAACAACAAAAAAAATGACAAAAAGATGATAGAGAGTTGGAAAAATTGCATATGCAGAATTAGAATTATTTGTTATAGAACACTTAAAATAAAAATATAGGACCTCTCACTGATGTGGAGAGGACAGTGAACACCAGGCAGCTGATGAATCTGATCATTGTGCAGTCCAGGTGCTAAATGGTGACAAAACGTTTTAGAAAATCCAGCTCTTATGGACCTGGATTACACACTCCTACAAGACAAGATGCCTTAGAGCAGTGGTCCCCAACCTTGGGCCTCCAGATGGTCTTGGACTTCAACGCCCAGAAATCCTGGCCACCAGAGGTGGTGGTGAAGGCTTCTGGGAGTTGTAGTCCAAGACCACTGCCTTAGAGGACTGTCTCTTTTAAAGTGGGACACAGCCATGTACATATTTCTCCTTAATTTCACAATCAATGTGAAGAATTATTTCAGGTGTGGCCTCCTACATCACAGATTTCCTCGTGTGGCCATCTGAAAGACAGAAGGGGAGAATTCTTCCTTATAGTTTAGATTCCTATGCTGCAGATTCTGCTATTGCAAAAGGAAAAATCCAGAGTAACTGGTCCCCAGCAGGAAAAAAAAAGGTCAAATTATAATCCAATAAATCTCCAAAAGCAGAAATACAGCTTTTAAATACATTGCAGAACTCCCCTGCAGAGTTCTACACTCAGAATATATTTTTTTCAAATCCAACAGTAGACCTGTGACCAGTACTGCTTTCATGGTCTTAGTTTTATATTTTTAAAATATATTTTTGATGGGCTAATCAATCCCCGAGATAAATTATGGGTTCTGCACCACCGAAGGCTGCTTCCCTTGGGTAAAAGGAACCTGTCAAAGTGAAATCGTCTCAGCTTTTTCCTGTGGAGGGACTTTCCAAGAGAAAGAGAGTATACCTGATACAGGTGCAAAGTGCATACAGTACATGTTCAATGTATCATCTTCTGACACTGAATACATTACATGTGCCAGTGTCACTAGGCTTTTTGGATTTGTGGACATATTTGCTCTTTTGAAAAGATGTCATTACAGATATCTGCACAAAATGGCTGCTTTAAAAAAAACAAAATGGAGGGAACACTGGCTCTCTGTCTGTCTCTCTCATTATACTTAGCTTCCTGTGACTACAATCTCCCTCTCTGTCCTCACTTTATTTCTCTTCTTTTGCTGGCACGGTGTCACACACTGACACCATCCTGCCCAATCTTCAGAGGTCACCCTTTCTCCCATACTGTATGTATCCCATTCCAGATGTCTTGGTAGGTCTCTGCCCTTGTGTGTAGCATCTCCATGGGATAGGAGACATTGCTTTGGGGAGGGTGGAGCACATATATCTGCTTTTGTCAGACCAGTTACAGAATCTTAATTCTAAGACCAAACCACTGCGTAGCCCACAAGGGTTCCCCAGCCAGAACCCAGGCCTCTTCTGCTGTTGTCCCTGTAATTATTTATTTATTATTTTATTTATTTATTTTATTTCTTCAGAGGTCACCCTTTCTCCCATACTGTATGTATCCCATTCCAGATGTCTTGGTAGGTCTCTGCCCTTGTGTGTAGCATCTCCATGGGATAGGAGACATTGCTTTGGGGAGGGTGGAGCACATATATCTGCTTTTGTCAGACCAGTTACAGAATCTTAATTCTAAGACCAAACCACTGCGTAGCCCACAAGGGTTCCCCAGCCAGAACCCAGGCCTCTTCTGCTGTTGTCCCTGTAATTATTTATTATTTTATTTATTTATTTTATTTATACCCCGCCTATCAAGTCATTTCGACCACTCTAGGCGGCTGGAGACAAAAGAGTAAAGTTTCAAATAAACATAAAATCTGCTGTTGAAGACTGTATGAAACTGAGCTGTTCTTTCCAAGCTCGGAGGCTGTGTAGTCATTGCACTGGAGCAAATACCACACCCACGCCTAAAACTGAGCTACAGTTTGTATATTTTGTGAGAAGAAGCCAAATTGGCAAGAAACACATTTGGCACTAAATGCTCTGCTCTTGGAGTGACTACTATGTCCCTGACATACCTTAGCTGTATCCAGTTGGTGAAATACAGCCCCCAATAGCCTTTCCCACGCTGGAATCTGGCTGCAAAATATTCTTCATCTCTGGTGAAAATCATAGGTTGGAGCCAGAGTTTTTTATTCTGCCAGCAAGAATGCTAACCAATTTGAATGCCATCTTAGATATCTGAACTATGTAAAGGCAATATTCTCTGATTCCCTCCTTTCGCTCCTGTCTCAGTGTCACTGCCCCCACTGTTTTCATGCCTGTCCCCAACCTTCCAAAACAGATTTGAAGATGACACTGGGGACTTCAGAGGGAGGGGATAATGGCAAGAATGGCTTCTTCTGCCGTTTATTCAATGAGAAAAGACTGCAGCATCAAAAGCTTCCTATGGAAGGGAACACATCTTCCTGCCATCGAAGACTTGGGCTGGATCTAGCTTTGGAACAACAGGAATTCTTCCCCATCTCTCACTAAGCCAAATACACCTTTTCTAGATTAACATATGTCACAGGAAGAAAGGTAGCATTCCTTCACTGCCCAAGATCATTGTGATAAAAGGTGAAGAACGAGATTGCTTTCAGAGAAACCTTACTATAAATACGTGCACAGTACTGTGTCTAAACTGTAGGAGAGGGCTACCTAGAATTAGAGAGAACAGAGGGCTGACTTCATTAAGTATGAAAATGACAATCATCTCAGTGATCCTTCCCCTTGCAATCTCTTGTTTCTTTTTAGGTAAGTCTCCTTCCCATTTCAAATGCCATCTTTAAGCCTCTATATTTAAGGCTTTCACTCAGACTTTGGAAAAACTTATTTACTGAACTACAGAAATGCTGACCCTGCATGGCTACTTTATAGATTTCTTTTTCTCTTCTCTGGAAAGCAGAATGAGAATTTGCTATCTTTTTTGGGGGGGAAGAAAGCAACAACTGGTGTTTGCTTCATTTTATAGTTAGGATTGTAATTCATTTTGTTGTAAACAGCAGCTTTATTTACTCACTCTGGCATATGGTAAAGATATTATCTTCTCACACCATTAAAATACTTCCAAAAGAGCCTTGTAGCTTAAATGATCCCTTCAAAATTTGCAGCATAGCATGCTTGCTATGAATGTTCTTTCTTAACAAGCCAATATGTTACGAAGATGTTAACATATTGGCTAGAATAATATAGGTATTTGTTTAATGTTTACATAACTTTCTGCAGTTGTAATTGCAGCTAACTGATGAATTTCCAGAACTAGAGATGATGATATTCATATTCGTATACAGATATCCCCACACAGGTGGCATTAACGAGGGTCCAGCACCATGGGGCCGGAGAGTCCACTCACTGATCCGCCGCAGACAGCACAATTCTATGAATGGCCCCGCTGTGCGCAATCTGCTCGCCATTCCTGGCAGGAAGTGAGAGGAGAAGCCTGGCTGCAAGGTCAAAGAGTGGCGAGTAGATCGTGCACTGCAGTGCCATTGGTAGAATTGTGCCGTCCGCATCCACAGCAGATCATGCACTGCAGTGCCATTGGTAGAATTGTGCTGTCCGCATCCATGGCAGATCAGTGAGTGGACCATCCAGCCCCATGAGGCTGGACCCTCATTAACGGCACCTGTGCTGAGATATACAAATACCCCTGCTGAGATATTCGTATTTGTATACAAATATTTGTATTCATATACAAATACCCTAGTCTCTATCCAGGACATGTCTTGGTCACAAACCTGTTTATGGGCCTGACCAAATAACCTGGATGCACCTTGGCACCTTATCCATTAGCTACTTGCTGCTTGGTGGGACAGTTTTCAGAGAAACATCTCCTACCAGGTGCACTAGAACAATGTGGAACAACGAAACTCAACCCTGCTAAGACTTAAACACATACCTGTCATCTGAGAAATGAGGAGGCACCTCAGAAACCTCAGGTTACCTGGAAGGGCATCCAACTAGATAGTTAATTTGGCCCCAAATACCTAGGTGTTACTTTGGATCATATGATGACCTATAAGAAGCATTGCTGCACAAAGATATTCTTTGAAAGCTATCGGGAATATCTTGGGCATAAAACTGTAAGCACTAAAAAGTACAGCTTTAGCCTTATGCTACTTCATAGTGCCAGCCTGGTGTGGTATTGTTCAGCACATGCAAAACAGGAAGATATAGCACTTAGTGAAAGCTGTAGAATCATTACTGGCTGCCTGAAGCCATTCTCGATTGATAATACTCTTTAAGTTATCTAGATGGCATTAATTGAGTTACTGAGATTTACTTCATAAGCTACAGACAAGTAAAAGAAAATGGGACATCTGCGCCTATACAGTTCTTTGTGAGTGCAAATTTGAGGTAATGTCACACCTGTGTTGGTGAACTCTGTGCTCCTCAAGGGGCACCATGGAAGATTTGATGTTACCTTCCCCAAATGTTCTTAATGTTGCCTGTCACTGCACACAAATCTTATTTTTTATTATACTGTGGTGCTTCTGACACAAAGAAGGAAAGAAAGTCATTTTCATTCACAAGTTATGCAAACTTAGACAAATAGGATTCTGGCCACTGAGTTCTATTTCTTAGGAGGAACAATCCCAAACTCTACTATGGTCACTAACCTGGTATTCCTGCTGTGAAGATGGTGAGAGTATGTTAAGGAAGATTGAGGTATGTAGCATGGATCCAAGACTCCTCCTTCTCTGAATATGGTTGTGTGTAGATGGACATGAATGGTTGAGTGTAGGTGGGCATGGAAAGGGGGGGGGAAGAAAAAGGTTTTTTTCCTCTATATATGGCAGAGAGGTTCTGAGGCCCTTGCCCTCTGGTTCCTGAAATCTTGCAAATAAGAGAAAGGCACAAAATCAATATCTCCCAAACTGCACTCCATTGTGGCTTAATGTTTTCCCCCCAAATTATTTTGCAGGTACTGGATCTTCAGGAAAGAAGGTGAGTCCACATGTTTGCTTTATAAAAAAATAATAATCACATTTTGTGCCCACTTATCAGAAATTAAAATAACCTGGAGGAGATTGGGGTCCCTCTTTATTTGAAACAAAAAACCATCCCCGTTTCCCCGAAAATAAGACAAATTAATAATGTAACCTATTAATTTTTGCTCCAAAAATGCATTAAGGTTTATTTTCAGGTGATGTTTTATTTTTTTATGTACAACAATCTACATTTATTTAAATACAGTCAAGTCATCTTCTTCTGGTTGTTGCACAATGGTGGAGGGTTGGGTTTTACTTGACTGAGGCTTATTTTTGGGGTAGGGCTTATATTACAAGCATCCTGCAAAATCATACTAGGGCCGAGAAGCCAGGCTAACTGTGTTCACCATCCATCAATTATGATGAAAGGAAATAAAGAGAAATCCATACCGGATCAGTTGTCATCCAGGTCAACAAGGACCACATCAGATGCTATAGCATCTGGGCATCTGGTGATAAATGGGCTACATGGCTCAGCAGACCCTGTCAAGGAACTAGGGCAGGCTCCGGCAAAGCTAATGGAACAACGTCAACACAAAACATGGACTCCCACCGAAAATGGAGAAATTATGAAATGTTATTATGAGGCAAACCCAAAAGCCTGTTGTTTTAAAAAAAGAATGATGTACATTTGGAAAAGGAAACACCCAAGTAGGGACATAACTGAACAATGATTAATGGACCAGAGAAGGTTTACGATCCAGAGTAATGTGTTTTCAGAACTGAAATTACAAGCACTAGAAAAGGTGGCAAAAGAAAAATCAGCACAAAACAATGACCGTAGTATGGAAGACAAATGCAGGGTGAAACAATGACCATAGTATGGAAGACAAATGCAGGGTAGAGGGAGACACAATAGTGGAAGAAAATGTATCAGAAGAGGAACAATTTGTGGAACAACCCAGAAATTATGAGTTAACAGAACAGCCAAAGGGAAAAATAGTAACCTATATTAGCCAGAACACAGAAAGACAAAGGGTCCCCACATTGCACCAATTACAAAGTAAACTACTGAATGATGCAAATATAGTCATCAGAACCATCCCTACCAACATGCTAAAGCAAACAAACCAGCTCATGTATGGCACAGCTACTATAATAACTATGGAATTGGTTAGAAGCTGAAGAGAAAAAGAAAAAGAAAAACAGAAAACTGGCATTCCAAAATGAAAAATTGGCTGGAAAGAAAAATAAACAAATTACATGCAGACATTAGCAACTTAAAGCACTTGAAAGATTCAAAACTTAAAAATGAAAAAGTAAAAGCCAGATTATGCAAAATATATGATCTAGAAAGGAAAACAATTGTTGAAACTATGGAAGAATTAAAACAGCATGTAACAGCTACAGCAAAGAAAATTGAAAGATATGATGGATGCTTGGGACAATATAGAGAAAACACGCAATTTCAAAATAACCAACAATTGTTCTATACATCACTAGGAGAAAATGCAGAGCAAAAGAAATTAGGCCCATGTAAAGATGATGCTCTGAAATTTTGGAAAGAAATGTGGGAAAGCCCAACCAGCCATAACAAAAACGCCTTATGGATTTAAAATATTTGTAAAGAAACTCAAGGAAAATATGTGGGATGATATTGTAATAACAACTGAAATGAATGAGAGGCTAGTAAAGGATGTGAACAACTGGAGTGCACCCAGTCCAGATGATCTGCACGGATTTTGGCTAAAGCATTTAGCAAATCTTCAACAATGTTTAGCAGTGCAATTTAATCACTTACTTCAAAATTCTACAACTGAAGATTGGATGACAATAGGTCGCACATTTCTGATAATAAAAGATCATTAAAAGGGCAATGAACCCAGTAATTATTGACCAATTACACGCCTTCCAACAATGTCCAAGCTCTTCAGGAATACTTACAAAATCAATATGTAATTATTTAATTGAACGCTCCCTATACCCAACTGAACAGAAAGGGAACTTTAAAAAGTCAAGAGCCAGGAAAGATCTGCTTCTTATTGATGAAATAATACTAGAGAATGAAAAAAGAAACAAAACAAATCGTAACATCAACTGGATAAACTATAAAAAGGCATTTGTCTCATTGCCACACAGCTGGATTAACACCTGCCTAAAATTTTGGGGACTAGTAAAAATATTCAGAAGTTCCTCAAGAAAAACACGGAAAAATGGAAAACTGTTTTAATGATGCATGGTGAAGAAATTAGGGAAGGTAGCATCAAAAGAGGAATATTTCAAGGGGATTCTTTGTCACCACTGCTGTTTAAAATCTCACTAATCCCCATGTCAATAATTTGGGCTGCCATATTTCAGAACAATCAGTTAAAATCAATAATCTCTTATGCATGGATGACCTAAAACTATATGCAAAAAGTTCCACAGAGACAGAATCACTGCTACGCACCGTGCAAATATTTAGTGAAGATATTCAAATGAAATTTGGAATTGACAAAGCAGTTTTGTCTATGCATTGTGGGAAGATCCAAAAACTAGATGGAATAGACTTTAAAAATGGCAATATTATAAAACCACTGTCAAGTGATGAAAATTATAAATACTTTGCAATACTACAAGCAGATAACATCCTGCACACAAAAGTTAAGGAACTGACAGAAAGGGAGTATATCAAAAGACTGTAGAAAATCTTTAAATCAAAATTAAATAGTGGAAATACAATCAAAGTCATAAACATGTGGGCAGTTACAGATTGAGTGGCAAAATTAGTGCACTGGTAATTATGTAAAATTTATAACTTGCCAGCCTCCAGAAAGCCATGAGAACATCAGGTAGAGAAGGTGTCAGAAAATAACAAAGTCAAGATCTTGTGAGATTTCTGGATCAAACTAGTCAAGATCTTGTGAGATTTCTGGATCAAATTAAAAGACACATTGAACATAACACATCAGACATAGTAATAATACAACAAAGAAATTGACATTGCAATTCCAGGGAATGCCAGAGAGGAAAATAAAGAATTGGAAAAACTAACAAAGTACAGAGACTTGGCAATCGAAACATCTCATTTGTAGATGAATCATACTTCAATGGTCCCTATAGTCATTGGGGATTTGGGAACAATATAAAAAAACCTCACACAGTACTATAAGCAGTTGCAGATTTCAGAAATAACACCATCAGAGCTGCAAAAAAATGACAATATTGGGAATAGCATATATACTACGTCTATATTTAACAGAGACTTAAGTTTTTGGTTAAAACTTGAATCTTTTGTAATACTAGTCTATGATTTTATAATTTTGATTGACTGTGCTTAGTATTTTTGAATGATAAAAATAATAAGAATTTTATAAAATATTATAACTAGCTGCAGGTATCTGATTTTTTTTTTTTAAAAAAAACATAACTGTAATTGACTGTGCCTAGTATTTTTGAATAATAAAAATAATAAGAATTTTATAAAATAACTAGCTGCAGGTATCTGATATTTTTTTTAAAAAAATAACTGTACTTCAACTGTGGTGTAAAAATATATTTTACCAGAAATTAAAAGATCTGCCTCATGTGGCAAAAATATTTGCAGAGTTTATGCGTTATATACTTTGACCAGGGGCAGAGTAGAGGCAGCATTGATCACTCCACCTCAAGCAGGAAAATGTTTTAGGCCAAGCCTGTTTGTGACACATTTCAAACTAATTTTTATCTCTTTTGTTTTATAGATTGACTGTTCAGAATACCAAATTAAAAAACACCCAATAGTTTGCCCTAAGTACTATTTCCCACTTTGTGGAACGGATGGCGTTACCTATGGCAACGAATGTTTCCTGTGTGCAAAAATTCTGTGAGTATTTCATTTATAGCAATACAATCTTATTAATGTCTTTCCTGGAGTGAGCAAGGAAAATATACATATACATTTATAATCTATGACACTGATTTAAACTGGATTAAATGTTAAGTGACAGAGGTTTGTTTGTTCAACATAGGGAACAGGGCAGTTATGTCTTCCCAAAAATAACAATATGATTTTTATACAAACATAAAATGAGGGCCTTCACTGGGCTCCATGGTTCATTACTGAGGAGCAAACTATACATTACAAATAACCTGCCATTAGAACTGAAATCATATTAGTATTTGAGAGGTCTGTTGAAGAGAAACCTACATGTTTGACAAATCAGACTTGCCCATGAAGATTGCATTTATACCATAATCTCAAAATAAACTAACTACAGGAGGAAAGTAAAGTGCTTACAGTACATATAACCAACACTTAGGGAATTCCTGTTTGTGATGCTGTTGGAGGGTTCTTCCAAGTAGTGAGCTCCCAACTGTTGCGAGTTAACAGGGATTTTGGCGAGTCTGTGTTTGAGTCTTTGGGCCTGAGTCCCAAGCCTCAAGTCATTTGCCCGGCCCCTCTGAAGCTTGGGACTCAGGACTTGGACCCAAAGCCTCAGGCTGCACAAGTGCTGCCCAGCTGATAGGCCAGCACATGTGCAGAGATGGCAGGCTTCCTGCCTGCCGCTGAGACCCATCACTGTCTCTGCCATCAGCCTATCTGCCATGACCATCAACCTACCAGCTGCCGCCGCCATCCAGTGTCGCTGCCATCTACAGAGTCAGCAGGCCTGGCTTCCTTTCCAGGAGCTGGCCTCTGGCTGCACAAGTGCTGCCCAGCTGATAGGCCAGCACATGTGCAGAGATGGCAGGCTTCCTGCCTGCCGCTGAGACCCATCACTGTCTCTGCCATCAGCCTATCTGCCATGACCATCAACCTACCAGCTGCCGCCGCCATCCAGTGTCGCTGCCATCTACAGAGTCAGCAGGCCTGGCTTCCTTTCCAGGAGCCGGCCTCCTGCTTCCACCCATACCTGCATCAGTCAGCTGATAGGCCGGCACATGCGTAGAGGCAGGGGCCAGCTCTGGGAAGGAAAGTAGACTTACTAGCTGGCTGGCACAGGCATGGGTGCAGGCAGCAGTTCTTGGAAGGGACGTGGGGCCTGCTGTGTCTGAAGTTGGCAGCAGTGGGAGGCGGCGGCAGCAGCAGGCAGGCTGATTGCGGCAACCAGGGATGGTGAAAGGCAGCAGATAGGGAGGTCCATAGAGACTCGATGTGACTCAGACAAATTGGCCCAAGTCACAAGTCAAGTCATGAGTGCCCCCCAAACCCCTCCAGTCGAATCCGAGTCAAGTTGCCAGAGCAACGTAGGTCACATATGACAGTGACTCACAAGTCCCCATCCCTGCAAATTGATAGGTTTGGGGGAATCTATTTTATGTTTTCTTTTCAGTTTTTTTCCCCTGGCAGTTGAAAAGAAGTGGGCAACATAAAGCCCCCTCAGGTGCCTAAGCCTCTCAAATCCCTATGTCGTCAACCCCTCATTTAAAAATAAAAATAAAAAAATGCCCTTCATGCCCTTTAGGAGCTGAGAGGACTACTTTCATTGTGCCATCCTGAGCCTATTTAAGGTTGATTTAAGTACAGGTGATTTGTGGTCTTAAAAGGTGATCTTCCTGGGTTAAAACAGCCAAGAAGCTCCCAAACCATGGTATAATTGCACACACACCATGGTTCCTAGTGGACAATAAGGGGCTTTCTGAGTGGGAAAAAAGTGGCAGATATTAGGGGAAGAGAGAGAGAGAATGCAGGAACTTTTTAAGACCACCCAGGGGTCAAGGGTGGGGAGGCACAGGCCTCAGCCCCCTCCACATTGCTCATCCCTGCTCCAAACAGTTGCAATAATGCAGAATTGGAAACATGCTATTCTGAATTATTTATTTAAGGTAGCATCTGAGAAGTCAAGATTTCAACTAATGTGGGAGAGGGGATCATCTATGGCCTTCCAATTGTCGTTTCACTGCAGCTCTCTGCAGCATTTGCCAGGATGGCCAAAGGCAGGGGTGGTGGTGGTAGGAATTGGGCAACCTGTGGCCTTCCAGGCAGATCATCCTGTCTTAATTCACTAACTCCAACCTCTCTTTCCAGAGAAGGAGCCAAGATAGATCTGGCACATAAAGGAGAATGTGTAAGTATCTTTGCCACCTAATCTGAAAGAGAAGTAGAATTCCTATGAAAGGATAATATCTGAAAATTTGTGCTCAGATAAATGGGTTGAAAACCCTCACTCGTGCTTAGCATGTTTCATGTATTTTTGAAAATACATCCATTTTATTCCTTTAAAAGATCTCTAGATTGCCTTCCAGATTCTATGTAGCTTTCTAAAATAGAGTATTGATTTGGAATTCACAGGTAAAGCGGTGACAGGTTCATGAACCTGGTCAATGCTAATTTGGACGGTGACGGGGTGGGGAGAGAAGGGTGCCTTTCTTTCCTATGTGCTAGACTTTGGTGGATGTAAAGGAATATTCATGGGAGCATTGCATCTGTAAGTGAAGTTGGTACTACCCACTTCATTGAGAACTAGGCCTATGTCATAACTCAGTTTCCTGACAAATCTTATATGGAAATAATCTGTACAGTGTTGATTCTAGTGGCTCCATGGCCTTTGGACACGAAAAGACACAAGTTGTCATGCCCCAATCTCTAGCTGTCCTCACAGCACCTCTCTTCTGTTGTTTTATTTTGCAATGGTTTTATTTTATACTTTTATGATTTGGATTGCTGTTAGCCACCCAGAGTAGACTTTGGTCTGAGCAGGGTATAAATTAAATAAATAAAATAAATAAATACATTTTCCATGCTGTGCTAAAGGAAGCATCTTGGAATATAGTAGGAATTATTAGAGTGGAATATCTTACCTGGAATCAAGAAGATAAACTACAGAGGATCACTAAATTGTGCTTATCAGTAACGTGAAGGTAGAATAGCACAAATGTTGCTCTCTGCTCGCTGTGCAGTGGATGTTGCCCAAATGATGCACAATGGCTGATAGAAAGCCAGCATTCTTAGGATTCCAAAGGAGATATCATTGAGGACCGCCCACCACACATCAGGTGTAGATAACAGCACAGGCTGTGCCTCTTGATATTGCTCATGAAAGATGAGGTCTCTGGAGAGAATAACGACCAGCATTTGGAAGTTTGGCCAATAATCACTGGGAAAATCCCTTCTTACTTGTAGTTAGTGCAACTGTCCTGTTGTTTGTTTCTCCTGCTCCAGTGACCCGAAGCTGCTTTGTTAGCAACAGGACTGCAGGGGATGGCCAGAGGACAAATGTATGCAAGTGGGCTGGGATGAGTTGGCACTACAGCCCTAAACTAAACTATGGCTTGGTCTCCTATTCTTTATTTCTTACACAGTCTTTGCAAGCCAATAAAGACCAGACAGGGGTGGTCTGGGAAAAATTGTTAGATTCCCCCCCCCCTTTCTGGTTCCTGCAAAATTGTAAAATCTTTCTGGCCTCAAGGAGAAGCGAAGCAGAGCAACCCTCCCTTTCCAGATTCTTGTGGCCCTAAGCTAATCCTGAAAGACAAGTGCAAAAGGCCAAATTTGCTCAAAATCAGAGCTGCCAAAGCTGAATTAATTTACACTGTCTGGGATGCATTTATAGGTTGACTGCAGTCAGTACCCACAGCCACAAAAGAAAACACCCGGAGACTGCCCGAACGCATATATACCTGTGTGTGGTACAGATAATAAGACTTATCCCCATGTCTGCATCTTGTGTGCAAAAATCAGGTATGTTCAACACAAAGAGACCATTTTAATACAGTGACACTGCTAGAAATCATGTGCTTGCTTTATGGATGTATGCTGCTTGTCTCAGCAAAGAGAGGGTTGTTGTCAGGGAGCACTAGTGATCCCACCTATTGCACATAACACATTAGAAGTTTTGTCCTTTACCCGGAGGCAGTGTTGGCATCACTACCTGGTGTCCCCAAAGTAGCCAGGGACCTACTGTTTGGTCTGGGTCTGCCACTACCCTGAGTCAGACCTTTAAAGAAAAACTTTGTAACCAAAATATTCGCGAAGGCTTTCACGGCCGGGATCTAATGGTTGTTCTGGGTTTTTCAGGCTCTTTGGCTGTGTTCTGAAGGTTGTTCTTCCTGACATTTCGCCAGTCTCTGTGGCCGGCATCTTCAGAGGTTGCTGCCCTCTGAAAAACCCACAACAACCTTTGTAACTATGCATATTTAGTAGTGCTGACAAACTGGGTTTAGCCACCATTTTAATTTCTCCCAATGCCACCAGCATAGATCTGTCCCTCTACAGTTGGCTCACTCAAAAGCATTTCCATGACACCCAGTAAACTCAGTATGGCACACTTACAGAGGAGATGGCACATCAAACAGGCTTTTGCCCTGGAGTCTCTCAAACCTCAATCTGACTTGGCCCAAAGCTCTTCAAAAAGAGCAAGGTTTAAGAGAACAAGAACAAATACATTTTTTTTATCTGTAGCAGATGGACAATTGGTTAAACATGTAGATGTTGCTGGACTAATTGTAACCCTCAAATTTTGGGCCTCTAGGTATTGTTCTGTTCATCCTAGCCAGGTGAGAGTTGTGGGACGTTGCAGTCTAATAGCATCTGAACGAAGTTCTTAGATTCTCCACCACCTAATCTGCTTAGTTACAGGAAATGAAATTCCTGCTAGTAAAGAACTTTTCCCTAGTTTTCTCCTAAAAACAGCTGTTCTCCTCTTTATAGTTATCTCCTTCCAGCTAATTGTGCTGTATTCTTTGGAAAAGGCTTAGCCTCCCCTAAGTCCCTGGCCTATGCTTTGTATTACTGAATTCCAAAAATATCATTGCGTTTTTCTCTGCTTTGTTGATTCTTGCTAGATTGCACTTTTATGCTACTTTTCCTGTGCCTTACTATGGAATTTCCATTTCTGTTATTTATGAAGTGGTAATTTTGTTTTAAGCAATTAACTGCTCTGGAGACGACATGATTAAGCACTAGAGTAGTATTTTTTAAAAATAATATAAAATACAATTTTCAAATATTTCCTGTATCTTCATAATAATTCAATAAGGCAGGGCGCATTTTCATAAGAAATAGCAGCCCAGGCCTTTAACAGTCATTTACACAAATCTCTCTGCTATTACAGCACAACCGGGAAACAGATTGGCATACTTCACAAAGGAGAATGCACGAAACAAAAGGTATGTCCAATTCTTCATGTTGGTATTCGTATATTCAAACTACTGATTATGGAAGGACATTCTGGAAATCTGATCTCAGCTGGCAGAACACTACATTTATAATTTTACTATAATACGTAACAATTTCCCTAATATACGTTGAAACTGCTGAAATCTTAACCTCAATGCTTTCAAAAGTGGCATTTCTTTAAAATAGAAAATCAAACATTTGATAGTCAAGGACACAGGATCAAACATGTTTACTCAGAACAAAGTCCTACTAGCTGCAAGAGCTGTATCCATGCATAACAGTACTTTTATTGTTATTTGCTGCTGGGCCTTCCATTATTTGCATGTAATTAAGGGGGGCCAAAGGTGCTGAAAGCAGAAACCTGTGTCCAACGACGTGTAAAAAAAATTTGGCTTCTTGACAATGTTTAAGGAACCAACATCCTATTTAAGAAAGCATTATTTTCCAGTAGTTTTCTTCTCTCTCTCTCTCTCTCTCTACAGGCAGAATAGCATGTGACATGAGAAATTCCTTTTGAGATACATGCTTGACATTTCCTGATCCACTGTGACTACAGAAATGCCTTGGTTGTGCAGAGCTGCCCTGTGTCATCCTAGCTGGTAGTTCAATAAAACAAATGCAATCTGATGTAGTCTCTGCTCTTTTACCAGCACAAAAGAAGAGTCTGTGAGTGAACCCCGACCTTTTATATCTCAGTCAGTAGCAACCACAGCAAATGCATGGGTGAGAAACACATCACCACCCAAAGTTCTTCTGTGGAAAGATATTGTCAAGATGTCTGGACGTTGGGTTAATTAGCTTTGGTTGAGGTATACATTACTGGGTCCAAGCTGAAACAAACTCTGATGCAGAGTGGACAATGCCACCGAACAGGCCTCTTTCTTCTGAAGCCCAGCCTCCCAAAACTCGGGCCCTCCACTTTTTTTTTTAAATCACTGTCTGGAGATTAAAGTGCAGTTTCTTTGCTTATCTCTACAGAATGGATGATGAACCACTGCAGGCGCAATCTAGCCCTGAATTAGGTGGGCAAGAGAAGAAGCAATACACCACAGTTCCAGTATGGGAATTCACTCTTACATTTGATTAATCTGAAATATAAGTGGTTTCACTTATAACACCACCACCTCTTTGCCCCCAAAAGCTAATAATTTCCTAATCCCCATTTCAACTAATAACTCAAAGATGTGGGTAAATGCAGTTCAAGAGTGAAACAAAGGTGTAATAGCACAGTCCTGTACCTTGGGTAATACATACAGGACTAGAATCTGAATCAGCAAAACATCTTGCCCACAACTAGCCAGGGCTCTTTTTCATTCACTCTACTTCCTTAGCTATCAAAATGTTCCTACATAAAGATATGTTTCTGTGACTTTGTGAAGAACTGAAGCTTGATTGCCCTTTATGCAGCCTAGCTATCAAGGGCATAGACTGAGGCTGACATGAAATACCAACACAAAATGAGTTACAAAGTTAATCTTTAAATTGCTACTATGAATAATTTGTAGTTTCTTGTCCCTCATGCACCATCAATTATGACACTGTGACCCTTTTCAGAATGTTCTAATTACAAAGTACAGTATTCAGAAGTACAGTAGTTTACCATTCCCTTTTTCTGGGGGCAACCTGAGACTGTGCAGCTTGTCCAAGACTACAGAGGCTGGCTCTTCTCCCTTGAGGCATAGTAGGGAATCAAACTCCCAACCTCTGGCTCTGCAGACAGATATGGAAACCACTGACCTATCCAGCCAGTAACAAGAATGTCAAAAGGCTGTGGTTTCTTTCTTTCTTTATCTAATATAGTCACTTTGAGATGCCCAATTCTTGCTGATGGCTCAAGAAACACACTACACAACCATATCATCACCCTAAGCCAGAGGTGGGCAATTAATTTCTATGGGGGGTGGCACATGAAAAATCTGAACTGTGTTCGGGGGCCGAACCAACTTTACATAAAATTAAAATGAAACAGTGATGTTATGATTGTTTTTATTTTAAACTTGTTAATCTCCACAAATACAAAAGAGGTTTTTTGTGGTATGTTAAAAATAAGCAACTGATCAACTTTAGACAAAAAGCTATAAATGGTTATGACGTTCAAAACTGTCCACAGGCTGGACAAGAGCGGCTCGCGAGCTGTATGTGGCCCTTGGGCTGCACTTTGCCCAGGTCTGCCCTAAGCCATGATTCTCCTAGGCCAGTGTACATAATGCCGCCTCTCTAAGCCTTTCCAGTGAAAGCATTATTTCGCCTTTGCAATTTGAAAAAAAAAAAGTCAAATTGAAATCTAAAAAAAAAAAATTGTAAGAATCCAGCCTTTTACTTCTACGGAAAGGACAGAGAGACACCATGTTGCAGTTCTGCCACACATGCAGTGGCAATTCAAGCCGTAATCATAAACAAGTTACCTAGGAATAGCCTGACACTGAGGAAAACTGTACGTAACTATATTGTATGCAGCTGGCAGATTAAGATGAAAAGTGGGAAAGGCAACAGACACACAACTTCTTTTTAAATGATCTGGTTTTATTAAAGTGTTCATTTATAATCAAGAAATTAATTCACATTAGGGTACTTCTTCTTTGTACTGGATTATGAAGTACCATAACCAGGAACATCTTTCCCCAATTCTCTGCTCAGTACAAATGTGAGCTTGTGGGCATCTTAGCACCCACGACTTGATCTACTGACTTGGTCATCAGAGATGGTAACATCTACACCTCTGATTCACCCCCAAAGCTCCAGGGCTCTACAGTGACAACATCTGCATGGCTCTGGAACAGATTAAACCAGAAGACAACCAGACTTTGCAAACCTTGATGAAGTATGCAGGACTAAGCAGCCTAGAAGGAAGACTGTGTTAGTACACCTTGCTCCATTTTTTGTCATCTGGTGGTACACAAGCATGTAATTTGAGCTGGACGGATAGGTTTAAAAAACCTCTACATGTGAGCATCAATACAACATTCCCAACATTGTGCATGGTTTCTTGTTTCATTTTTACGGGCAAACACATGTCCAAAGAAGGCACACTAGCTATGCAATTTCAAGCCATATTCAGATCTGGAGATTCCCTGAAAGCTCTTTTAATCGGAATTGGCAACAATCAAAATTATTTTCTCACAGACAAAAACCAATCGCTGGCATTGCTCCAATGAAACCAATCACTGCTTGGAGGGGCAACTTCCAGGTGTATAGCAGGCAGCCCCAACAGAGGGGACCCTTTGCTGCTTAAAAGGCCACTGGTGAGAGAGGAAGGCACCTTGGCTATAGGATCCCTCCCAAGAGCCAACTGTGCCAGGCAGCCACCTCTCCATCCTCCCTGACACTGGGACCTTAGGCAGCCGCCGCCTCTCTGTCCTTTGGCTCAGTTGTCTTTAAAATTCGCCTCTCTTTTCTCCACAAAGGCGTCCATTCCCTCTTTCCGGTCCTCGGTGGCGAAACTACCGTGGAAGAGCCTCTTCTCGGCCTTGAGGCCCTCCTCCAGGGTCATCTCAAAGGCGGCGTTGACGGCCTCCTTGGCCATGGCCGCCGCCAGCTTGGAGTTCTTGGCGATCCTCTCCCCGCACTTGACGGCCTCCTCCACCACTTTCTCCACGGGGAAGACCTTGCTGACCAGGCCGGCCTGCTGGGCCTCCCGAGCCGAGAGGCGGTCCCCGGTGAGGATCATCTCCATGGCCAGCGACTTGCCCACGGCCCGGGTCAGCCTCTGAGTGCCGCCGGCTCCCGGGATGGTGCCCAGCAGGATCTCGGGCTGCCCGAACTGGGCCTTCTCGCCCGCGTAGACGATGTCGCACATCATGGCCAGCTCGCAGCCCCCGCCCAGGGCGAAGCCGTTGACGGCCGCGATGACCGGCTTCCGCACCCTCGACACCCGGTCCCAGTGGGCCAGGAAGTTGCTCCGGTAGCAGTCCTGGAAGGTGCGGGCCTGCATCTCCTTGATGTCGGCGCCGGCCGCGAAGGCCCGCTCGCTGCCCGTCAGCACGATGGCGCCCACGCCCGGGTCCCCCTCCAGGGCGTCCAGGGCCGCCTTCAGCTCGCCCATCAGCCCGTCGCAGAGGGCATTCAGGGCCTTGGGGCGGTTCAGCTGGATCAGGGCCACCTCCTGCCGCCCGCCTCGCTTCTCCACCAGCAGGTACTGGAACGAGGAGGGCCCCGGAGACGTCAGGAAGCGGCGGGGAGGCCGCAACGGAGCCCCCGCCACCGCCACCGAAGGCAGACGGAGCAGACCGCGAAGGACACCGCCCGCCGCCGCCATGGCTAACCCGAGGGAGGAAAGGAAGGAGGGAGCGAGCGAGGGAGGAGCTTCCAGCTTGAAGGAGCGCGCAGGGAGGGGAGGGAATTCCGGTTCCCAATCGGCCCAACCCGCCATGTGCGGGACAAGGGGGGCGGGGATTAAACGGAGACCAGTTTTCATCCCTCTAACGTCCCCGCCCCGCCCGCTTTTTTTTTTAAATCTCGAAAAACAGGACAGTAGTTAGGAGGGAGGGAGAGGACGGTAAGGATTAATTCAACCGTTGCTGATTGAGCAATGGGTAAGCTTCACCGGTTGAAATTGTACCTGGGCTTCACTGGCACAGGAAGGTGGGCTTAACATGGGCGTGCTCTTGGTGCAACACTTTGGAAATACCACACACACACACACACACGGGCAGTGCGAGCACTCACCTCTCCTTCTCCCGAATGGGGATTAAAAGAAAATCTTTTGGGGGGGGGAGCAAGGTTTCTCTGTCGCTACAAGCAGCGTGAAATCGGATTAGGACATTTAGTCCCATCTCCGGTTTTTAGAGAAAGTTCGGGCAAACGATAATTTCGTTTTTCTCAATAGGATAGGCTGCACCTTCCTAGAATGTGAAAAGCAATAACGCCGAGTTTTTAAAGTCCTAAGTAAAATTTAAATTCATCTCGGGGGGGCGGGAGATTTTTTTTTCACTGAAGTGTCAACGAAGTGGTTAGCTTCAAATCCTGCCCCGTGCCGTGGATGCCTCCATATTTCCACGTTTCTGAAAAAAAAACAGAGGGACTGCCATTCGTGGAGATTCACACTTGAAATAAACCTGTTAATTTTGAAGACCAAG